CCAGAATGGACAAACCAAACCCTGACTGTAGATAGCTCCTATGTGCTTGGAACTAGGTGCCACTAAATCCTAAACACTGGACCTTTAATCCAGGAATACAGAATTAAAATTAAGCACTGCTATAAACTGCAGAAATATAAAATAAGCATCTATGAGTTTGAACATTGCCCATAAATATTTCTGATAAACACCTTAAGAAATAACTGCAGTTATTCCCATTTTACTGGAGGAAATACTTAAGATGGACAACATGACTTACATAAAATGGAAGTTTCCACATATATAACAACATTTTTCTGCACAATGAATACTCTCACTTTTAATATTTTAGATACTTTTACTTACTTCGGCTATTTTTCCATTGTAGTATTGCTACTTTTACCTAAGTAAATAATCAGAGTACCTGTTCCACCACTGCCAATGGACCATGGGCCTGTTTGAGAGACAGCTGCTTGTCCACCACTGAAATGACACAGCAATAATCACACCCGAGAAAGACAGAATACAGTCAAGAACATCCTTTTATTCAATCAAGTAAAGGGGTTGCTCTTTTCAAACTGTTTTTTATTATTATTATGGAAAAGAAACTGTAATTAACACATGCATTTCACCATGGGCTCTGGGGGGTATGGGTCCGAGGATGGGACGCTGCTCTGTGGGAGGAGGAGGAGGAGCACTCTTAACAGGAAAGGTGTTACAGGCCAGAGGCAAGAGGTTAGGCTGGCCAGGGGGGCTCAGTCTACACATGACTAAATGCGGCCCAGCATCCTACAAAACTTGTTAAAAACAAACAAAGGAAAGAAGAAGAAAAAAACGGCGGACGGTTCGGCCACAGGGTCCGACTGTGTTCTCTGAACGGCGCAGGGGCAGACATCGTAGACACCCTCCCTCAACAAAGCACACACACGCATGCACACTCTGCTCCCTGCAACCTGTCCGTCTCCGATATGGCTTCTCAACTGTGGCGCGTTCACTTGTCAAGGCTTGATTGATAATACTGCTGCTGGCTTCATTTGTTAATGAAGAAAAATAGGAAGTTGCATATACATAATTGTTTTTGCAGGACAAAACTCTAATCAGTAGATTTTGCTGGTGGAATTTCAAGGTGCTTTCTCTATCAATCACCAAAGTCTTCTAGTTTTGTACAGCTTTTGGAACCATATCACTTTGGTCAACGTGTCTTATCAAACACTGCGATTTAGAATGGCGGTGGATCAATATTGTGAAGCAATGTGTAACATCTCTTATGATTGTGCTAAATCTGAGCCTTCCAGCCACCGTGCTGTGGAACCAGTCCGCTTATAAGGTGCTTCGAGTCATTTTTCAGTTAATTTTTTTTCCCGTTTTTCTTTCTTTTTTTTTTTCTTTTTTTTTTAAATAGCTGGTCTCATTCAACCACTAGAAATGATGGGTCGGGGTCCTTTGCGGAACGGATTTTCATTTTGAAATGAGAAAACCAAAACCTGGAAACAAGCTGTTTTTGCTGGTTGTTTTCTTGTTTTCAGTTTAAAAAAAATAAAATAAAATAAACCCGGAAGACAGTAAATTTTATTGTTTTCTGTTTTTATTAAAAAAAAAAAGGAAAACGGCTCGTTTTTTGATCCCCTATTTATAAATGGTAGTTGGGAAACAGCTCATTTCCCAATTTTGGCTTTCACATTTCAAAACGAAGATCTGTTGGCCGCTGAAGTACACTGACCAAGGTGCATAATTGAAGGTCTCAATGCAGCATCTTCCCGCTGCCTAAGATACGCAGTAACAATGAGAAAAAAAAGTGAATCAAAAAGCAAATCCAAATTCAATTATAAAAAAATAAATAGATAGAAACAAGGATTACAAACACACCTGCCTACACTAGCAGTCCTACTGGTCATCTCCCACAACTCAGCCCAAAACCAAAAGTCCCTGTGAGTGCTCTTCTCCCTCCACCGAGATTGATTTGACTTCTCCCAGGGGACTGACCCCCCCGGCCCCCTGTCCTCGGCACAGCCCAGAGCCCCGTGGTGTAACTTGTTCACTTACATTAGCTGTTGAATGGAGAAGCTGAAGAAGATGGGTATGGTAATACAATGTGAAGCGTACAGACAAGAATAACATGTGAGCTAACTGCATTCTGCTCAGACAAAAAAATCTTTGCGTATTCTTTTTTTTTTTTTTTTGAAACCCCGCCGTTCAGAGAAAGGGAGAAAAGGAAGGAGGGGAGAGGGGGGGAGGAAGGGAGAGGGTTACGCGGCTACAGACTACTCCAGTGTCCAAGATAGACAGAAGACAAGATACAGAGGAAGAGAAGCAAGACAGAAAATATCTTCTTTTTTTTGGGCTTTTTTTATGCTTTTCTTAATTATTCAACAATAAAAAGAGGAACTAAATCACACCAATTTCCTTTAGTACTATGTATACTGCTTTAAAAAGCTTGAAGAAGAGGAAGAGAAAGATATAGAAGTATGAAGGAGGGGACTTTTTTTTTTTCTTTTGAGATGGGCACTCAGGATTACAAGATGGAATCTGTGAACAAAAGGCACTTTTTAGGGACAACCTTTAAGATGCTCTGAGTCTATAACACTACATCACCAAACAAATATTTATAATCATTTACAGTGGGAGATGGGGATCCGGGGGGAGGAGTAGGGGGGTGGGGTTCACTCGAATTGATGACAGCAGACCAGCTGAGCAGACAAAGGCCGCTAAATCCCTCTCGCTGAACCAAGTAGACGTTTACACCAAATTGAAAAAAACATCATTCATGGTCTTTCTTTGAAATGGGAATCCGTACTTGTGCATCTCCCAAATTGGGGAAGATCTTGTCTTGTTGGATACAAGATGATACAGTCTGGAAAAAGCATTTTACAAGATGGTTTTTTTTTTTTTCCATACGACTGTTCCTCTGCTATGGTGTAAAGGTTGGGGGGGAAAAATGCCTTTTGTCACGACAACCTTTTCATACAATGAACCCCTCCCCCCTCGGTAAATACAAAAAGAGAAATAGAATAATGCATGTTTTCCTAAAATTTGCTTTTATGATAACACTTAATTTCGTTTATTATTATTTATGTATAATAGAGATTGAATGTACTTTATTCTTAACGAAAGCACCAGTTTTCATAGTGATATATATTTTATGAGTTGCAAAATTGTTCCTTCAGCCCTCCCACATTCTGAAAACAAATGATTAGAAATTAAGTTTTTCTTAAAAAAGTGATAAAAGGAAAAAAAAGCAACAAAAACAAAAAAAACCAAAAGGAAATTAAAAACAATTTCCCCGAACTTACTTACAAAGACTGGGATTTTTTTTATCGCTGCCCTTGTATTTAGAGTCCCAGAGCATGTGGACTTGATAAACAAAAAAAAACAAAAAAAACAAAAAAACAAAAAAAACTTGGAGGGTTTTCCCTCTTTTCTCGTGACACCCTCAAACAATCGCTAACAAACAAACACAATTCCTCTACCAAGGCATTGCACATGGCTCAATCAACATACATCATTTAGTTTCAAGAACAATACTTCCCATCAAAACAAGAAAGAAAACAACAAAATCTAATCTGTTCTTTTTTTTCCATTCTCAACTACATTATCATCACTGTCTATGTATCTATTGTTGTGTTTTTGCCATTAATTTTCTTTTATGTCATTTAACACAAGAGTGGGTTTAGAGACTGGTACTAGCTCTAATCAGCGGTATTTGAGATGCATCCTATGACTGTGCGATGTACGCCATGCTTCAAAAAATAACTAGACTGCCACAGAGCTTATCTTGCAAATAAAAAAAATGTATATATCTATAAATATATATGTGTATTATATATAAAGATGCTTGCGATTATCTAAGTGAGCTGTCACCGTTTTTTTTCTCCTCTCCTGACATAAATTTTTCACCATTCACTATAGCTTATATGTGAGAAAAAGAACCTGAATTCATGTTTGACAAATTGCATAATGGGAATACAGAGGCACTTCCATAGATTAGAAAAGAAATCACCTTAGCCATCGTTTAACGTCTTACTCGGCAGAGCTAGTTCTCTCTACGTAGCTGATGAGATGGTCGCCAGTGGGTTGGCCAACTATGTTGTGTTTCCCTGCAGTGAAGAACGTGGCCAGGCAGTCCAGTTATTTTGTGAGGTTGGATGGGTGGTTTGAATTTGAACAGGAAATAACTGAATCAGTCAGAATATGTATGGGCTAATGATAGAAAATGATTAAAAGCATAAAGGCCTCCTCAGATTGTCTATTTTTAAGACTTCCCTTTGAATTCGGTCGGGCACAGGGGATGTGTTTTTAGTGAGTGGTCTTTCTAAGTCGTTGTGTTTAAGAAGTGGCAATCTGTGCTCTACAAGTGTGTTTCCATCCCAGTGATACATCCACTGACTCGAAACATTAAGTGGTGGTCGATCTGCTGTAGTTCTTACCAAAAAAGAAACTTACAAGGTTGGCTGGCATGATTGTTTTAGTGCAGTTTTGATCATTGAGGGCTCATTGATTCACAATAGCTAGAGGGGAGTGCTGGTGTGTGTGTGTTGGGGGAGATTACCATAGCAACCTATATCCATTACCTGATCCCGTGCACTGAAACAAAACTGGGCACAAGGGTGATCCTCCTACTGCTAAGCCTTAGAGGCCCTCGTTCCCTCTCCGAAACCAGCCAGATATGTCACATATTCATTTTGCTCCACAGTGTGGCTCCCTCTGCTCTTGGAGCAGCGGCCCGTCTGGGAGTGTAAACAACAGGGTAAACTTTAGGGAGACAGAAAGAAGAGCTATTCTCTCTTTTACTCTGGGTCCCATCTCCAGCAACCTTCCCTCCTTGGTTCTGTTTTTCTATCGCTCATGTATTCACCACCAGTCACCAGCTGGACCTGGGTCAAGCAGTAGATGCGGCTAGTCTTTTAGCTTTTTCTTGACCTGTGTGGTTCAGCAGGTAAGTTCCCACAAAATGAGCTTCCTGTGATTGTCAAAACCCTGCATTGTGTGGTCTTCAAGTACAGCGTATGGCAAACAAACCATGTCAAAGTTCAATATTTCGGAAAATTCGCTTATTCACTTTCAAGCTGAGAGTTAGATGAGAAGATTGGTACCACTATGTTAAATATTAAGCTACAGCCAACTGCCAGTTAGCTTAGCTTAGCACAAATACAGAAAACCGGGGAAACTACTAGCCTGCTTTTGTCCAAAGGTAACAAAATCCACACAGCACAAACAATGCAGCCAAAAGAATCTACCGGTATGTGTAAAAAAGGCATTTCTCGTTTTACAGGGTTCATGTGCTGGAATATTTCTTGGCTGTGACCAGTCGCCAGGTCCCAACCACCTGTTGTTTTTACACACTTTTTGGTTTTCTGGTTTGCAAATTCTGTTACCTTTGGACAGAGCCAGGCTAGCTGTTCACTAGTTTCAGCCTTTATGCTAAGGTAAGCTAACGGACTGCTGGTTTAGCACCATATTTAACAAGAATGGCATCAATTCCCTCAAGTGTATTTTCCATAATGTCAAACTTTTTCTTAATGTTCTTGGCATGTACTATTTGATCAAGGTCAGCTAACCACCCTGTCTACGCCACTTCGACATCCCACTTCTTACTGTGTTTCTCTATAAGGTGCTGTCATTCAAATACAAAACAATTATAAAATAGTACAAATCCAAAAGGAATAAATTCAAATAAGAGAACACACAAGAGATAACAAAATCATTCATCTACATTACAAGAGGGCAAAAGGGGGATCCAATAGCTGCTGTCTATAGTCGTGAAAACTGTCAGTAATGATGTACTCACACTGTGATTTTCAATGTGTGTCTGTGATGTTTGGACATCTAATCAGATAGGTTCACTGGGCTTACTGTGCGCATATAAAATTAAAATATGATTACACAACACCACCATCTATGAATACTACAATCTTAAAAGGTCTGACTGGGCAACTGTGTGTTTTCAATTGTACATACGTGCTGTGGTCATGGCACAGATTGAGTGTGTGTTGTGCGGGGAGATGTGAGAATGAGCGGAGGCCAATGATTTGTCAAACTGAAGGATGGGGGTCGAGGACACGTAAAGGCTTCTTGTACCTTGGTTTTTCCTCTTTAAAACTCTTTATAGGCATGTCTAGTTTACCTCCCATGCCTTGTAGGTAAATAGTGCACATCGTTAAGATTAGTGTTAATTGATTCAGCTTCTAGTGCAACCCTTAATCAAGATATGTTTTGGCATGGTGTCTCTCTAGTTAGTAGTAGGGTAAAAAGGGACTTCATAAAGTCAATGGTCATTCAGCGGGAGAGAAACATTGGTCAATTTGATTATGTTTTGAGTGATGGCAGACATCACAGGAGCATGGACTGCAGCTTTCATTGGAAATCAAATACTGTCTGTGCTTTGATCAGGCTGTGGATTCATTGTGGGTGAAGCTTTGTAGCTTAAATGTTAAATCTATGTTGTGGAAACCTGATTTCTTTTGTTGGACAGATTTTCTTAGCCATTCTTTACACAATGCGTCCTCACGAAGTAGGAGAAGTTGACTGCTTTTTCATCCTCAGGTTCCTCTTGCGTTGCTGCTGCGTTTTGCTGGTTTGGTGGTTTCAGGAGAGACGCCTGCTCGCTGCCGTTTGTCCCCTCACCCCTTTCTTTATCCTGGCATCCTCTTGTCCATCCTTTCATCTTTCCATCTATCCATCTTTGCTTGAAACGGGTCCTCCCTCTGACTGGGTAAATGAGTCAAGAGTTCCTCAAAAAGCATAATGCTGCTGTAATTTCCTCTGTTGCTTGTTTATATTTTGTATCAGGTGAGACGTACGGTCGGTGGGTTGGTTGGAGGGCAGTTATTATCCTGCGGGTTGTTTCTCCATTTTTTTATTTCCGATTGTAAAGAAAGAATTCTAGTTGCTGGTTTGTGCACAGATCTTGTCAGAGGAACCAAGACTGCAACAGAAACAAAAGGGAAGGGGGTTGGGAATGAGATCATGTTAGTGTCAGTAAAAAGTGTGTTAATGTGCATACAAGAAAAACCTTAAAATACAATTGAATAGAGTGCAGTTTCACTGGCAGTTTGAATGCATCCATGGCTTGAATGGACATGAAACCCCTGGTTGAATCGGCAGACCCACTGTGGTAGAAAGTAAGCCTTTTCCACCAACTGGCCCCGTTCCAGTTCAAGCATTTAGTTTTGAACCGTTCAGAGCATTTAGACCAGACATAATTGGTTCACAACAGGAAAAGTTGGTTCCTAACTGGAACCAAAAAATAGCAGGTTTTCCTTGGGAAGCAAAATGTGCGTCATATTCTATAGGTTGCTGTGCATTGTGCAACGCCCAAAACCAGTGGAAACACGGGCTGGTTCGCTAGATGGCACCAAGGTTCCAAGAATATTGAACAGATATAATTTAATGGAAAGGGGGCCACAGTGACCACTTTATTACACAATCTAATGCAATCCAACATGTTTGCTAATTACCACTGAACACAATCCCTAGGGACCTTGAATATCTTCAGCAAATTTCACAATGCAATGCAATGCAATGCAATCCATCAAATACTGTAGCTGGTATTTTGAACCACAAATGTCAATCTCATGGTGGTGCTAGACAAAAGTAGGTAGGATTAATGTTCTGGGGAACATGAACAGCTGTACAAAATTTTATGGCAATGGTTAGGGGTTATGTATGGAATAATTGCTGAGATATTTCAATCTGGACCAAAGTGGTGGATAGACTCTGACTGACCATCCCTACAGAGCAGCAGCTATGACCAAAACCGCTGTGCTGTGAGTATCTTTGTTATTTTATCCCTGGAAATGACATGTACAATGTGTTGACTTTTGGCCACTAGAGGTTCCTATAGTTCTTAAATACAGTAAGTAACAGAATGGTCATCTGGGCCACCAGCCCAACTATTACCATCACTTCTGTCCATTTCTGGAGTTGAGCACGGTACACTTTGGCCAGGCAGTAAATGGCTACTAACGGCCAAGCAGCAGCAGGGGGACAGCAGTCTGGCGCTCCCTGTCACTTGCACCATCTTCACGTTTGGTTTCTCCCACTCAGCGTGAGCAGGGAGCAGAACTGGGTCACCGTCGCTGTTGTTGGCTGCCCTGCTTGGCCTGCAGGATCTGGCACTGTAGGCTAGTGCGGCAACATTCTAGAAGTCAAGCCTTGGAAACTACTCTGAGTCTCCAGGGAAGCACCCTTTTGTTTTGTTTGACTCCAACAGGTCGCATGAATACCCCCCCCTCTGCCTCCTGCACTTCTCAGCTACCCTACTCCCCTGGGCACTGTCCCAGCAGGCCTTGGGCATTGTGACTTCTCCCTTCTTAGTTACTCTTCCCTCTCTCTCTCTCTCTCTCTCTCTTTCTGTGTATGTTCTTACAAACACACACACAATCCATCTATCTCCCGTGAACACTCCCACTAAATCCTTGGCAGCAGACAGTGACCACCCTCTTTTCTTTCCAGCCCCCACCCCACCGTCGCCCCCTCTCAAGCAACCCCTTCTCAAATTCAAGATCAAGTGGCTATGACATCATGTCTGGTTGCTGGGGGGAACGAGACGGCCTGGACGTGACTTCTATAAAGGTTTGCTCCGTTCCCTCCATCTCCCCTCGTTTCCTGCCCCGTTGGTATCTTGTTTCCCCTTCTCCCCTGGTTGCAGTACCTAAGGTTTGCCACTGGAGGGCACATGGAGCCCACTGTTGTAAGTGTGAGAGCTCCAGCTTATCCCACAGCCACCACATACACTTCTGACATGCTCTTTGTCTTGCAATCTATCATTTCTTTAGTGGATCGTTAATCTTTGTGTCATTTTCTGAGAGGCACATGCAAACAATTAACGCTGTGTGTTTTGGTTCTGCCTTGAAAAGTAAAACCATACCACAGGCCTACTCATTATTGAGCATCAATGAGGTGTTTAAGAAAAGCATATGAAGACACGCTACATAGGCAAAAGTTATGCAGATACCCTTGTCATATACGTTTATTAGTTATGGTATAGGGCTTCCATGGTTTGGTTGAGGCCTCTTTGCTCTAATGCTGCAGCATTCATTGATATATTAGACCACAGTGTGCTTCCAACTTTGTGGCAGCAGTGTGGGGAAGAACTTTTCTTGTTTCAACATGACAGTGCCCGACGTTCACAAAGCCGAGATCTAGTAAGAAATGGTTTTCCCAGTTTGGTGTGGAAGAACTTGACTGGCCTTGACCCCATCCAACACATTTGGGATGAACTGGAACGCCATGGCCCAAAATCAGAGCCCAACCTCACTACTATAATGCTCTTGCGGCTGGATGGGAGCAAAACCCTGCAGTCAGGTTCAGAAATCTGGCGGAAAGCCTGAAAACAGAATTGTGGAGGCTGTTGTATTTATATGCTGCCGACGGCCATGGCCATAGTTTTGAAATGAGATGTTCAGCAATCACATATGGATGTAATGTTCGGATGTCTACATAGTGCATTAAGCTGTGCTTGACATACCAGAGTGAAGAAGTTAAGGTAGATTATTCAGAGTAAAGGTACTTTAGTAACAAAGAAGGCATTAGAAAGAAGAATAAGAAAAACTGACAGCAAAGGGGAGTAAAGAGTGGAGAGGTAGAAAGGGAAATAAGGAATGGGGGGAAAGGAAAGGCAGAAAAAGTAAGAGAACAGAGGGCAGAGAAACAAGGGAGGGGATCAGCCGCGCAGTTTCAGATGGTTTCCATGTGTTGAGGAGCAGAGCTGTGCTGAGCTGGCTCCAGGTGGGTGTGGTTGGACACTAATGAGAAAAGTTCTGTGGTAATGGAGGAGGCATATGAATGAGGCGCAGAGTGGTGAAGGGAAGGAACGAGTAAGGTGAAAGAGAGGAGAAAGTACAAGGCAGAGACAGAGAAAATGAATAAGTAGGAGGCAGGGAAGCAGAGCAGGACAAAGCTAAAGAGAAGGAGAGAAGGGGTGTTCGGCAAGGAGAAGTGGAAAAGGCAGCGAGGAAGAAGGCCCGCTGCCTGAAGGGCAGGCTCCATATGTGCCAATAAACAGTTGAGCACATATGGTAAACCACACTCGTACTGTAAAATACAGATATACAAATGAACACTGATGGTGCGCTGTGGGATGGTGTGAGAAGAGAGATGGTGGAAACCCAGCAGCAGGTTTCAGAGAGTGAGGGAATAAGAAATACTTTGGCGTACATCCACGCAGTTAATAAGTTTCCTGAGTTTGACCGGTAATTACAGTCAAAACAGACAAGTTTCCTTCTCACTTTTACACGCAGAGACAAACTCTCAGTGTATCCCAGACTCCTACCTGTGTCTGCTGCGGGATGTTCAGAAAGTTGTTGTCCCGTGATCCGATGCCGACAAACCTGTTGGGAGCTGTGGTGCCTGGCGTGGAGTATGCTAAAGAAACAGAAGAAGAACAAAAGAAGACATCAGCACATACACAAAGACAGCTGGCACTTCAACATCTTAAAGCAATAGTTGCATTCTGGGAAAAGTGCATATTAACTTTGTTACCGAAAGTTAGACGAGAAGATTAATACCACACCTGTCTGTACGGTAAATATGAAGCTACTGCTAGCTAGTTAGCTTAGCTTAGCACAAAGACTAATGCTCTCTCTCAATTTCGAGTACTTCCGTTAGTAAACTGCTATGTAGTACACAATTTTGACAGCGTAGCGTTGTGTCAAATTGAGCACGGCTGTTGCACACTTACCAGATATGACAATTGCAACCTTTTACTGCATCACCTCCTTCTTCTACAGCTTATTTTTCACTGGATTTCTTCATATTATTTAAAAATTAACCTGCTTCTACTTTTTATCGCCTGTGTGTCCACCCTGTTTCGTGTGAGGTGGAAATTACACCAACTACGCCAACATCGCGGATCGTGTGCTCACTAATTAACCTGTTGTTTGTTTAATCCCTACAAGAAATGTAGTGTAAAAATGACAAGAAATAGGCAAGAAATAGTCCGACAAATATTCCAATGTGTCATTTTAAGACACTTCAATTTTTGTATAAATTAAACCAACAAGATATAACATGTTAATTAGTGAGTTTTAAACATGCTGGTACTGTGACTTTGTTATTTTTGGACAGAGCCAGGCTAGCCGTTTCCCGCTGCTTCCAGTCTTTAAGCTAAGCTAACCCACTGCTGGGAGTAGCTTCATATTTATCAAACAGATATGTAAGTGGTAGCTCTTGCCAACAAAGCAAATAAGTGTACTTCCAAAAATGTCAAGCTATTCCTTTAACATGTAATAGCATATAGTAAACCTACTGCATCACTGCTGTTAAATATCAAAGCAATTCAGATAAATTAACTTAGTATTACAGAAGTACTGCTACTACTTCATTGAGGTCATCAAAACTCCACAAAGAAGTTTGCCAAAATCTGGTTTGCAAACTTAGATCTCCCTGAGTGATTAAATCCCGCTGATAAACTCAGTTGAAAAGTGATTGAGCGCACCAGAATCCTGACATTGAGGATCAGTCAGGGACAGTTAAAACCCACTGGCATCAAAGTCCCTGACAAATTTAGGGCAGTTTGAGGTACCCTACGGACTCCAGCATTTGAATCTCACTGAGGGATTCAGGATGCAGTCAGTGTGCAGACTTGTGCATATGTGAGTCTGTTTGTTTGGAGGAACAGGAGAAAGGACAAGAAGGAGAGAGACAGAGAGAAAGAAAATTTGGAGATTTATGTGTATGGACAAATACAGTATACATCCATGTGTTTCTAAGAATTGGAATAACATACATAAGACATAAAAGACTTTGAGACGCTGACTGGGGGGTAAAACGCAAACACTAAATTTGTAGAGAAGCTACAAACAAAAAATTAAAAGTGCTCCATCCAGTGCCCCTCCTATCACAGGTAAAGAAGACAAATGTGTTGTGAGAAAAGCCCCACGGTTCGACTGACATCACCCCTTCACCTTAAAAACACACCCTATTCTTCTTAACAATCACCAAACGAAACAAAATCCCAACAAGAAGGTAAAATCAGCTCTACCAAAAACACGTAACATTTTTCCACCAATGTCCCAATTTCTATTGGAATGTTTTGGAGTCCATATAAATTAACTGCCCTAAATTTGTGCTTGTCACAAATTAATTAATTCCAGGGGAAGAACGGAGGATTTGGAAGGAGAAGAACTGGGTTGGTGATGCAGCTTCCACACCAGACAACGCAGAACGGGCTCAACATGTAAAACCACTCAAACTGATGGGACCTAATACAGAACCCTGATGAGCACCACAATGCTCTCTATTAAGAAAGTGCATTAAGAAAGATATGTCTCACCAGACCTCTGGTGATCTACTCTACTGAGCTCCACAGTAAATCCTGTGCTTCTTTCGATAGCCTTCCAGGGATTAAGGGAGATGAAATGTTGGATACACAGGAACAATGATGGCACGAAGTTGGAAGAACAATGGCAGGGGTCTTTTCACTGGAGAGGGTTGGGATTTTCAGATTTTTTTTTTGTTGGGTTGGTTTTGAGAACGGTCTCTGCGGGGTCACTTACACGGAGATGCGGGCGAGGAGAGTCCGCCGTCAGGGGGCGTGCTGTTGGGTTTAGAGTCGGGCATAGGGAGGGGCACTGGGCGGGCCACTGGGGGAGGTGGAGGCAGCAAGAAGGAGCCCGGCATTTTGCTCTGGCCGCTCGTTTGGCTGCAGACAACCCCAAAATAGGGTTCAGGAGGGCGACATGCGACAAATCCGCAGAGCACAGGAATGAAAAGAGGAACGCAGCTCGGGAGCCCAGGTCCAAAAAAATATCCATGACGGAGGGGGGGTGGGGGGTGGGGGCGATGGTGGAAGGAGGTAGTGGAAGTGGTGGGAAACAACAACCAAAGGAATGAAGTATGTGGACGCATCTTTTATGGAGGTGTGAAAAATAATAATCACCACAGGGTTTGATAGGAGTGGGAGCTGGAGCTTGAGGTGAGAGGTTCCACAGGGGTGGTCCGTGGTGGGTGGAGGAGGAGGTGTGGAGGAGGGAGAGTGAGCAAATTATTGACTGGGTTCGTCCAGAAGATGGCAAGAAATCAAAACCATGGGAGAATACTCGTCTACACAAGCACAACACCACCAACGATACCAGCACCAAACAACCAAACTCCAACTAAAATCGGAACAGCTAGAGATGAAAACAGAAACACGATGACACAACACAGGACGGGTATGCTTGACTTGAAGTGTGCCGTGACTGATTCACTCTCGTGCTGATGGTTGTAACTTCTGAGGGGTTGGGTGGAGCAAAAAAAATTTAAAAAAGGAGGGGAGAAGTGGGAACGTTGGGGTCTGAAACAGCAAACGTCAAAATGACATTGACAAGACAATACACAGATTTGTAGACCAACTGAATATACATATGTCTAGTGTGTTCACTTGTGTTGCTGTGGTGTGTATTTTTGTGCATTTATCTATATTGTATGCAGTAATACAACACCATTAAATAAGCTTTTAGCATGCACTGTCCACTGAAAGTAATGACATTCATATAATTATAAAATATGGCACTGTAGAGCAATGCAAATGTGCTCAAAACAATTGCTGGCTTTGCTAAAATAGGCACATGTATGGAAGTAAAAACAGGCCATAACAATTTGAATTTTACTAGTAACTGGATATCTAATTTTTAATGTGAGCAATTTTTATGTAAGCAAATATATATATATTCCAATTAAGAAAATTTGGGATCCAATATAAGAAAACTCTACTGAAGTTCCTCAAATTCAAAAATGAAATCCATGTCAAAAGATCAGGTTGCTTTAATTAAATAAGTTAAATTCACACATTAAAATTCAAATTGAAAAAAATCTAATTAGAATATTCTGGCTGCAATCAAACCTGAAGGAATCAATCAGACAATGCGGTCTCATCAGGTTGCCCCCTGTCAGTCACATGAGCCAAGAAAAAAAACACTTCAGATGAGTGACATCTCAGACAGTGGAATTTTCTTGAACCAGAAATATTTTTTGAGTCAGACAGACTTCTCAAAGTAAAATATGCCAATGCAATAATTTACTGTGGCCTATTTTTGCTTCCATATACACATTTATCCACTAACTAACTGACTTCTCCTTTCAGTGGTCTCTTTGAATATTTTATAACTGTCCTACACTATTACTACAACAAAAATCTTTCAAAAACCTTCAATACTAATGCAAGCTAGGTGGAGGGTGTGGCACATTTGTAAGTTAATAGTGTTCCTCCTCTCAGGCAGCAAGCCTTACCTGTCCGGCGGCCTGCCCCGAGCCATCAGCACAGACAAACTGCACAAATTCCTTCAGGGGGTCCTGTCCAGGGTGGTGGTGGTAGCGGATGGTTGGGTGGGTGAAGTAGGGGCTAGACTGCTGGATGATTGAGGGAGACGGGAAGTGCAGGGCTGAGGCTGAAGCACGGGGACTCCCTGCCAACAGAGACATTTGTATTAGAGGAACAAGAGTGGAGACAGATGCAGTGAGCGAGAGGAAGATGTGAACCACTGAATTCCTCCATATTCTTACAGATGGGAGAGACTTACTGAGTGATTACCAAATGATAGCAAGAAATATTAAAAAAGATAAAGTTTTAATCCGGTTTTAAAATATCATACATGAATGGAACGTTGTTTTTCCAAGAAAAGCTGATTTCAAGTTAATAGCCATTATGGGCCTTGCTCATAATGTTTTACGATCACTCCAGTAAATCTATACAGCTTTATGGAGGCGACTTACACACACATTGCACTCATATGTGCACACTCAGAGAGACTGCATAACAATTTCAGTCAACACCATTCAAACACTGCACACACCTGAATGTGCAAATTCAATAGGTGCAAGCACTATATTTTAAAATCAGATCCAAAGAGCTTGTAAAAAGAAAAAGCACAAAGAGATCATTGAGTACTGTCTTAAATTAGCCGGTCTTAATGCCTGCATGCCTGTGTGCTGTTTTGAGGGTGTGATTCATTGGCGTTGATGCAATTTGGCATCCATGGATGGTAAAGCATTTTTTCCCCCTTCATCTGACTCATTTTGTTTCTATGACAGAACTAATCTGTACGTTCACATTGTACGTCTAAGTTGATGTTTTTCTGCTAATGGGCTTTGGGGCCTCATATCTGAAGATATGTGTGTGTGTGTGTGTGTGTGTGTGTGTGTGTGTGAGACATTCTTTTTTGTTTTAGGTGAGGGGAAAATAGAGGAACTCACACCAAACAGAGCTGAATGTATGTGTGAGGTGTGAGAGGGGAGCAGTTGGTGGAGCCCTACCACCAAACACAAAGCCCTCTCTGTCAGACCTATATATCCATTACTAAATCTCCTTCATTTGTATTAGAAACCTGTTCTCCTCTTTGCTGTGCCAGTCTGACACCCACCCCATCCCATCTAGGCCCCCCAGCTGCCCATGTTGGGCTGCCAACACTCTTTGGTGCTTGCATCTTATACATTGTGTGTGAGTGTACTTCATGAAGAGTGCCAAACCCGCTGCATTACCCCCCAGACAGGGGGGCCTATGCCTCTGAGCCCAGCAACACCTTGCTCCCATGCCAGGCTGCCTGCTCCCCAGTGGAGCTGTCTCCCTGCTTCTATTAGTGCCCTACTAATCCCATTAGAGACTGGGTGAAGGCCAAACACTCTGGGGGTATGGGGGCGGGTTGGGGATTGGGAGGGTGTGGGTTTGGTAGGAATG